ACGTATCAACAACAAACATGGTTTCATCTCCCTCTCATGGCTGTATTGAAAAGAAGCACTGGTGGCTTACTAATAAAAAGGTACTTCAAATTGTTCATCCTATTGATAATGGACGATTTTGATCGATTTGTTCCTATGTATTCATTATGTGTTTTCGATGCGTTTTTAGATTGTTGATATGTATGTGAAAGATGCAAGATCATTGATTGCTTCTCAAGAACAGAGCAACATTGCGTCTGCTCTAAACTTGCTTGATGCTGCTCTTGCTTTATCACCGCGGTTTGAAATGGCTTTGGAGCTGAAAGCCACGGCTCTCCTTCATCTGAGAAGGTTCAAGGAAGTTGCAGATATGCTTCAGGACTACATACCCAGCCTTAGTCTGAAAACGGCCTCCGACGATTCATCCGTTTCGTCTTCATCATCTGACAACAACTCGCAACCGCTCTCCAGAGAACGAGTCAAGCTTTTGTCTGCGCCTACTCGCTCCGAGCAATCCTTCAAGTGCTTCTCTGTCTCCGACTTGAAGAAGAGGGTCATGGCTGGCATCGGCAAAAATCGCGATAAAGAAGGTCAATGGAGGTATGCTCGTCTCTTCTCTGTGGCAATGTTAGCTTGAAATTCAACAACTTTTGTGTGTGGAATCTGTTTGTAGCGCGTTCTGATTGAGCCTGTCTTACGATTCAATTCAGGTACTTGGTTCTAGGTCAAGCATGTTGCCACCTAGGATTAATGGAGGATGCGATAGCACTTCTCCAGACCGGAAAACGCCTTGCCTCCGCCGCATTCCGCCGTGAAAGTGTCTGTTGGTCAGATGACAGTTTCACCTCGTCCGCCGTGACATTCACCTTCGGCAACCAGCCACAGACGCCTCCAAGGGCAGAATCGGAGAGTATCTGCAACCTAGTAAGTCACATCAAGCTCCTCCTGCGGCGGAAGACCGCAGCAATTGCCGCTGCGGAGGCCGGTCTTCACAGCGAAGCCATCAGGCACTTCTCGAAAATCGTTGATGGTCGACGCGGAGCCCCTCAGGGCTTCCTGGCGGAATGTTTCATGCACCGTGCCTCCGCTTACAGGTCATCGGGTCGAATAGCTGAGGCCATAGCGGATTGTAATCGGACGTTAGCGTTAGATCCTAGTTGTATCGAAGCCCTAAGCACCAGGGCTTCCCTATTCGAAACCATCCGTTGTCTCCCTGATTCGCTTCACGACCTTGAGCACCTGAAACTGCTTTACAATTCAATACTTCGTGATCGGAAATTACCGGGGCCGGCATGGAAGCGTCAAAATGTTGGATATGGAGAAATCCCCGGGAAGCTGTGTTCGATCGCAGTAAAAATCCAAGAACAGAAACAAAGGGTCGGTTCAGGAGAATTAGGGAACGTGGATTACTATGCTTTGATGGGATTGAGACGTGGTTGTTCCAGATCCGAATTGGAGAGAGCCCATTTGTTGCTTACCCTACGACACAAACCAGATAAATCCACAAGTTTCATCGATAGGTGTCAGTTTGCAGACGAACGCGACATTGATTCAATAAAAGATCGGGCAAAAATGTCTGCTTTATTGTTGTTCAGATTGATTCAAAGAGGGTATACAAATCTGATGAGACTAGTTTTGGATGAAGAAGCCTCCGAGAAGCAAAGGAAGAAGAGCTGTGCAGCAAATGATGTTCAACTTCATCAGCAGCAGCATTCAATATCATCGTCTAAACCAAAATCTGTTAATGTTAAAATGGTGAAGCGGAGTCATCATCATCAAGTTGAAAACAAAAATAATGCGTTTCAAGGTGTGTTCTGTAGAGACCTTGCTGTGGTTGGCAATCTGTTGTCTCAAGCAGGGTTTAATCGTCCTATTCCCCTCAAATATGAGGCTTTAAGCTGTTAGTTTTTTAATAAATCAAAAATGAATTTTGATGATCATCACAATTTACAAACAAGAATGACAGAGGATGAATGGTGGTGTACAAATGTTGGGGTGGGGGTTTTTGTGTTTCTGGTCATATGTTTTCCATTTCACCCCTCAATACTCTCTTTCTTTCCCATGTACAAAATTATATAATTTGAGCAGCCCAATTTACTATCACCATATCCACAGTAACCTATGTTAATTCTCATCTCATCTCATCTGTCTGCTTTTACAATTATTGAACAAGAGAGAGAGAGAGGAAATATTATTTGCGGGTCAGAATATATTAATCCAACCCAATCTATATTTGTATTTAGGTTGACAAGTTACGAGTTAATGGGTTAGAAATATCAGCACAACCCAACCCACA